AAGGATTGAAAGCCATGGTAGGATTAGCTGCAAGTGATGGATTCACAGGAAAGGCAGTCTGTATGTTTGAAAGAAAAAAAAAGTGTTAGAATTAAACAGATTATTCCTATTAATACACAAGGAGGCATTCTTTTAGAAAGGCTAAGCATATAACAATTTGTCATTTTTTCTCAGATTTATTTTGAGTCTTATACTAATTTCATATAGGAGTTATTTTAAACCAACAAATATCTTTGAGTATCAAATTTATTGGTAAACTGATAAAACGAGTCACATAATTTTAATAATCATGAGTTAGCCAAATTTCACCTCATTGATGGATTTTGTTCCAAATGTGTTTTATTTAGCACTTTCCTTTTTACCTTAAAATCATGCCACCTGCCCGGACCGGTTTGGCTCAATGGATAGAGCATCGGCCTGCTACTTTTATGAATCGTAATGTAAATATCTGATATGCAGGATGGTCTTAGACGACCCCTGTGAAAGGGTCGTTCGACCGCCAAAGAGGTCGCGACCCACAGGTTGAGAACCACTGCTCTATAAAGTCGTTAGTGCCATGCTGTGCAACTTGTAGTGTTCCACTGTGTATTACTGATAGCATGTGTTCTTTCTTACTTTCTTGTTATTTCTTTCACTAAAAAAAGAATAATAAAACTGTTACACTGACAACCAACCTGTGCCAAAACCTCTGCTAAATCACATTAATAGGGATAATTCGAAATACAAGATGAATAGGAAGTTGTAGACCACACTTAACTTGGAAGGAAGGACTTCTGCATTAGCACTCTACCTTAGATGTTTACCAAATTAGCTAATTTGACATTGGGAAGGATGGGAAAAAACCTTCCCCCTGAAAACTGGTAAGACTCACTAGGGTGATTAGAGAAGACTTGGGGGACAAGAGTTTTAAAAGGAAAGGGGCAATACCAGGTACCAGGAAAGATGATGGAACAGTCTGGAAGGTGCTTTTAAAGTTTGTGGACAGTCAGCCAAGGGCTTATCCAGCCTAACTAGGTACTATGATGGAAGAAGCTATACAGACATGTCACATTTTTTATTGAATAAGATATGAGGGTCCAGTAATTAGCTGATGCAATATCATCTTTTATAATAAGGTAGAAATCTCTTGGAAAGAGCCACCCAGGCATACTTCCACAAAAATGCAGACTTTATCAATTTGATAATGTATGATTTTCTCAAAATCACCAAGAATCTCTCATTATAAAATCTCCATATTTGAACCACACAATAGTATGCTTTGTTGTACTTCTTTTTTTCTCTCATAGTAAATTTCTAACTAAAGTCACTATCCTATTCCTAGATACTTTTTGCTTTTGCCTTTTAAAGAACTGAGAAGAACCATTATTACATTTTAAAAACTATTGAATTAAAAGAAAGATGTACCTGTGAGTGGATTTTCCAGATTAAAAACACCATTAATGACTAATAAATACTGATCAATTAATAATAATTAAGCCTAATGTACATAGAAGCAATGCATCCTGTTTACAGTAGCACTGAAGTTCCTTTAACTTTTCCTTTCTTTTTAGGGTGAAATTTTTTAGGTTAACTTCTGCTTTCTTTGGATTATATTTCAACCTTCTTAAATTTGTCACATACCCCACAGTTCAAAAACTGTGAAAATAAGCTGTAAATTAATTAAAGGTCTACCTAAAAAGTTCAAGGGGCTTGCTAAAAATGTTTAGGTTTTCACCACATACTACACTGTTCCATGTTTAGGTTTTCAAATGAGTATTATGTTTTATAATAATTTCCTCCTTGAGTACAAATTTCATTCAATAACACTGTTATTAGAAGAAGCAATTCTTCTACTTACAGAAACTCCTGAGGTTTTTACTTATTTTCAAATGGACATTTCTGTTTTCTCGCTACCATCTCTGTCCCAGGGTAACTACTCCATTTCATGAATTTGAACATTCAAGGGTTCAGATTTGGGTAACAGCACTCACCCCACCCCCATTAAGCCAAGAAAACTGCAAGCTTGCACATTCAGCTTTAGTAAGTAAATTTAATCCTGCTTATACCTACATTGCAGCCTTAAATTTCATTTGAAATAATATAAACTGTTCCAAGGGGTAATCTTTGTTTTAAAGAAAAAAGTTCCTAGCAGATTGAATGCGATTTCTATTTATAGCCTGAAATAGTCTAGAGTAGTAGACTCTAGAGACTTTAAATATGTTTCAGATATTCATTTGAACCTAAATTATTTTCTAAATATTTGAAAATATGAGAAGACTTTTCCTCTTAAAACCAGAGGTGTGGGTTTTCAATTTTCTCTGAGTTTTATAAAACCAACAAGAATGGTGAAGACAATTGACTTTATGAATAAAAGATCACCTAGAGAATTATTTACCCTCACTGTCTCTGGCAGGATTAGCTCCTAGAGTAGGAATTCCCACAGATTCCCTAGAAACTCTAAGGGCCTTAGGAAATGCCTCCTAAAAATCAGTGAATTGTCTCTAGAACAATGCCCCCTAATGTCTTTTAGTCTTGGATTTCTCTGAGAGTCAGATCAAAGCTGCATGCAATCTCCGGAAGTTCAAGGACATGTCTGCCTTGTTTTTGTATGGCCAAGTTGGTAACAATGGTTCCTACATTTTTAAATGGTTAAAAAAGTAAAAGATAAAAATATTTCATAATGCATGAAAATTATTTGAAATTCATATTTTAGTGTCCACAAATAAAGTCAACTGTGCTCATTAGTAGATCTGTATTACAAAAAGTTGTGGATACTTGTTTTCTCTCTTGCCTACATAATATCTTCAACTTTGCCCATTGTCCCACAAAGCCTAAAATCTTTACTATTTAGTCATTTACAGGAAAGTTTGTTGACCCTCGTTCTAGAGGATTCCCAAAAATAAAGCACTCCATCAATTTCTGGATTAAAGTACTAATTATATATAAATCTATTGATGTGAATTTAATACTTTTTGGCAAGATTCTAGAAGTTGAAAACGTTTGGCTTTAGAAACCAATACTGAAGTATTCACTGAAATGTTCCTTTAAATTGTCACTAAAATTAGGATTCTTAACTACTTGTTAATAGAAGAATAACTACTCAGTGACAAAGACAGATGTAATCCTATACAGGCAAAATTTTAGGAGTCACCACATATTGGTTTCAAAGGATTTTGAAGCACGACTGAATAATAATATAATTCAATGAAAAACTATGCCTCAAATATATATGTCCAGTTTACACATACACTTTAGAAACATTGATTTAATTCTTAAATGGGTTATTCCTCAAGCTAGTATAAAGAAATAAATGGTAAATATTATGCTAAATCAATCTTTGTGTCTCCCCAACAGCCTAGATCTATTTGTAGTTGTTTCAACAATATCCGAGGTCAGTTACAATGATTGTTGGATGAATGCAAAGTCACTTTGGCTAATCCTGGCCAGAAAGGAATATAATAATTGAGGCCTTTCATCTCTGAGGTCCTATTTAGAGGTGGATGACTAAACATTTTCTTTTATGGGATGGTAAACATTTGGTAATAATTTGTTGACTTGATTTTAATACCAGAAAAATAGTCCTCTTAACTTTTACTAGCACCCATAATACCTTAGTTTTATTGCTCATTTAAAAGAATTTATATGGTACAAAAGGAAGCTTGTTTCAGCATCACCATGCATATTTCTATCCTTAGATTATCCCAAAGCACATCGAAATGTATAATTTTAGTTTCTATCAGACTTTAGTAACTGTTCACATGGAGCACAAATGAATAATCTTGGTCTCATAGATTTGCTTGGTTATCTCCACACTCTGTGTGTGAATTTTTGCAGAGACTGGAGTGGCCAAAAGGCACAGCATGAGACCCACATAACCTCCAATAGTTAATTGGTCCCTCGGTAATTGAGAGTTAACTTTATAAACAGACACAAGCAGATAGTGGTGTTTATGTACTAATCATACTTGTTAATGAATAAGTCGCTATGGCTCCAGAGAACGCTAAGGAAAAAATAAGTTCAAGGGTCAAAAGTAGATAGCTGTTCTCACCTAGACCTGGATTTTCTGACCTTTTTAGTCACAGAAGTCTCTAAGTAAGAGGAAGCATTGAAGGTAGGCAGGTAGGTGAAGGATTAATAGATTATTGTGGGTATAAAAGGTGTAAAGTATAGCATGCAAGAGAGGACAAATCCTGATTTGGATCTGCCTGTGTTGGGTGGAGGACAAGCTACAAAATAGGCCAGGAGTTATAACGGCGAACTTACACACAGATCAGCATATCACCAAAAGATGACTAGAGGTAAGGATCTGGAAAGAGGGCAAATGACTTCTTCCTTATATGGACAAGGCATTTTTTACTTTGTTCCCAAGAAGTGAACAAGAACTAACCTAAAAATTACTTGTTGGTGAGCCACAATGTAATAGTAATGACAATTCACTTAACTTTAGCATGCGACTAGAAAAGGAAAAGTATTTTTATAAAATCAAATGGCTACTCAATTTAAACAAAAGGTATGAAACTAAATATAGATTTTTTGAGGAGAGGAATGGCAAGATCTTAGAAAAGCAAAAAACAAACAAACAAAAAAACACATGGAGGCTGGAGACTGTAAATATCTCAGTGCAACTCTAGGATAAATGGATGCCAAGGGTTATAATGATCAGGAGTTCAACAAACAACCACCAAAATAACACAAATCAAAACAAAACCTTGCATGGTAATAGCAAGATAGCTATATACAGAAAAAAAGAAAAGCCCAAAGCTATAAAAATACAGAAGATTAGGTATATATCAGAAAGTAATGGGGTAAAAAAAAAAACATTAGTTGACCATCTTACCATTGTCATACTTTCATAGAGTGTAGAGATTGTTTCTAGATCATCTTTTTATCCACCTCTTATCCTTTTAGATGTTTGGCACAGAGTAGATTGTCAATAAATATTTACTGAATTGAGTGAAAAGGGATTCCTAAGCCATTGACTACTTTTATGATTACCAATTAGAAAATCCAATTTAAAAATTACGGTACAAAAAGAAACACTCAAGGGTCAAAATCAGTGGACAAATGCATCTCCTCTCT